TAGCTTGCCGGCAAGCAAGTGAACCTCAGTAAAAATCATTGTGTTCATCATTTGATTCCGAGGTGATTGGTCTACATTGGTATTCATTATTGTGATTGATTGGTTCCTACCACTACACGGCAGTATAACTCTCTTGCTCACTCTTACATTACCGCAAACTAGTTATCAAGCTCTTTAGTGTAGCTAGTTGTGAGAGCTTGTTTGTTTGATTAGTGTTGCTCTTTAGTTAGTCTTTGAGAGCACACTAATTTAGCTAAGTGTCATAGCTATTGTGTGGACATACACTATTCGAAATAGAATTGTGGTAGGTGGCTTGCATTTTAGTAGGCTAGCGCAACACTCGCTTCACCGCAAAATTGTCTAACACATTTTGTTAAGTGTTATTGTAGAATTTTATTAGGCTATTCACCCCCCTCTAGCCATTAGGACCTTTCAAACGTAGAGATCAGCTCTAGCCGCTTACTCACCCTAAGGCGGCTGGCTAGCGATTGAAGGTCACCACGCCGTCCACCAACCCCCATGGAGCGCTGCGCGAGTCGGACGTGAGCTGCTCCTTGAGCGAGACGAGTTATGGGTCGGTCTCGACCAACGTCCGGAGAGCGGCTACAATATCAAAGCTATGCCCCGACACAACGAGCACCACACCCATGTCGTAGTGTCAGCGGGAGAGGACGTCAGACACCGTGTTGCTGCTGCCTGGCTTGTACTCTACCCTGAAATCGAAGCCAAGCAATTTTCTCACCTATTGATGTTGAGGGATCATGACGAGGCGTGGATCCAGCTGTAGTGGTCTGTCTTGACGACAAATGGGCATCCCCACTGGTACAACCTCCAGTGCCGCATGGACTGGACTAGGCCGATCAACTCCCTTTCATAGGTTGTGAGGCCACGGTGGTGGGGAGCAACTCGGCTTAAGGCCACGGGTCCGCTACCCTAAACCCCGAGCCGCACCAAACCCCAAGCCGGAGACATCACATTCCACCGTGAAGGGTTGGTTAATGATGGGCAGTGTGAGGACAGGGGCCACTGTGAGCACCACCTTCAGCTCATGGAACACCTTGTCAATTGCCGGTGACCATAGGAAGGTGTTGTAATCGAGGCATAGTCGCGGACGAACATCCTGTAGTGCCCCGCAAGGCTGAGGAAGCAGCGAAGAGCACAGTGGCCAGCAAGCGTGTGTTAATCGACCACGAAGTGCACCTAGTCATAGTCAGTTGCCACACCCACTGCAAAGATAGGCCACCGACGACGCTTGGAAGGAGCACTTGGAGAGCTTGAGGCCGAGGGCATTGTCCTGGAGGGCGGTGAACACTACCTAGAGGTGGTGATGCCTAGCCCAAGCTGCTAAAGATCAAGATGTCGAAGACCAGCACAAAGCAAAGCAGGAACAAGAGTAGCACGTCGTTCATGAGTACCTAGAACGTGGTTGGCACGGTGAAAAGGCCGAATGACATGACTAGGAACTCATAGAGGCCTTCATGTGTTTGGAACACCGTCTTGGCCACATCCTCGTGGTGCATCCGCACCTAGTGGTAGCCGGGGTGGAGGTCGAGCTTGGTCAAGAAGGTGGTGCCACGAAGCTCGCCCAAAAGCTCATCGACCACCAGGATGGGGAACATGACCTTGATGGCCCCCTCGTTGAGAGCATGATAATCCACGCAAAACCGCCATGTGCTGTCGCCCTTCTGAAGTTCTGCTTTTCAGTCACTCACCGGAGGTCGAGACCCCGATCGCCTGCCCCATCCGCCGCCCTTCGACACGGGAGAGGTTGTCGGTCCACTTTAATCTGCTTGGAACCACTCCAATACCCATAGGAAAATCCCCAGCGTACCCATCCCTGCTACCAAATGCATTGTCCCAAGGGCCCCATATTCTGGGAGCCCAGGTCATGCTATTGAAAATTCACCCCATCCACCAGCCCACCACCACGCCGGGCCCGTCGGCCGTCGTCCGCCCTCTTCGCGCAGGCGCACGTGTCGATCTCAGGGAGGTCGACGACAAGCGGACCTTCACCCTCTCCGGTGGACCAGCTACGACCTCCGAGCGACCGAGCTTCGACCTCCGAGGCTCTGACACCCGACAGCGGCTCCAAGCCGACAAGCCCCGTCCAGCTGCCACGTCGACCCCGGCCGTCCACGACTCATTCAGTTCCTCCCTGTCTATTTGGTTTCGACGTTTTGGAACTTCTGCTGTTAGCATGTTCTGGTACAAATACCAGACGATTTTTTTTCTTTCTCAGTTTCTACTCAATTTCTATTCAATATTTCAATTGCATAAAAACTGAAATTGAAAAGATGGATGATGGATCTACAGATTCTTTAGAACGAAGAGGACCAAGACTTTGCAATCATATTTTCCTCGACGTGTTGGTCCAGATCAAGAAACAATTCAAGCTCCACCTTCAGGTGACGAGAAAACTGAAGCTCCACCTCCACCTTCATTTATGCTCAACAATTATCTTTTTTATGACATTTTCATTTAGATTTCCATCTTGTCCAGATGTAGGGACATAGGGCTCGATGAGGACATGGAGGATACAAATGCACCACATCACTTGACACTAGGTATTTATATTTATTTTTATATCATCATGTGTAACATCTTAGCAATTTTAGTTGAATCATCAGATCAAATTAGAAATTTTACCTTCGTCTTAGTTATTTATGTGTGTGACATTATTGAGCTCGTACTGGGTATGATAGATGAATATTGGGTATTGGGTAATTTTCACCGCTACTGCTAGATAGAGCCACAGAGGCCCTAGTCTTGAGTAAGTCCTAAGCCCACCATTGACGGTCGTCATTGGCAATGGAGAATGGTGAGCGTGGCCGCCAAGTCAAAGATGAAGTTGTGGGTGGAGCCAGAGTCGAGCTAGGCAGTGAGGACTAAGGACCATGAAACCGAAGGTGATGGAAACCTGCATCGTCTCGGCTATGTGAATGCCCGGAGTGGCATGAAGTGAGATGAACGGGTTCTCAGCTAGCGTCGGCATCGTCCGTGACCAACTCCTGGAAGTCGTCTGTGTTGTCATCCATCTCTAGCAACAACAGGTGCTGCATATGTGATTGTGGCCGCGGACATACGTCTCATCACAATTGAAGCACAGCCCAAGGCGGTGTCATTCATCCATCTCAGCGGGCGAGAGGCAGCGAATGGTACAGCTTGCGACGGTGATAGTTGCGCCCATTGAAGATGCGTCCACCGTGGATGTCTCGGCGGAAGTGATGGCCACTGCAAATGGTACAGGGTCGACGGCAGGATCCCACGCCGAGATGGATACGCCGCTGGTGCCCCAGAAGCCATGGCCAGTTTGTGTCGCTCGAGAGCGCATGGGACTAGGGGTTCTTTAACTCGACATTGATGCCCAAGAGAGGGTCAAGGTCCGTCGTGAACAGCTGCACCCACTGACTCTTGATGATGGGTCCGACACGCTAGAGGTGCTCGAGGAAACATTATCCGCTTGGTGGTCGTGAGTTCACACAGCGGATTCGACAACAGTGATGGTCCGTAGCAGAGGTTGAGCTCGACAAAGCGGCTCCATGATGGTTTGACCTCGTCGAACGGGAGGCGGGTGTACCAAATCTGAGCTGAGCCCTCCAAATTGTAGGAAGACATATAGACCTCCTCGATGATGCGCTGCTAGAGGAAGTATAATTCGGAGGAATTGATGAATGACAACGGGTCACACTCCCCGTCGAACCGCAGGAACTCCATCTTCTAGAACATTGAGGGTTGGTCGTCATGTTGTCCCTGGGCCAGGGAGCGGTAGCCGTCGCGGTGTCCGGGGCCCTTAGATTCCGATAATTGGAGGGACGCATGTTGCTTGTTGCCACTAGCTGATGTCCCGGATGGCCATCTCCATGGACCCGACACCCGAGATTGGACACCAGGGTGGCGATCGCTGCGTGGAGGTCAGCAGCTTCCATCATCTTGCCATCATTCGGCTTGGGCAACATGGTGGCAGGTGTAGGAATGCCTAATGCTTATACCAATATCTTACGGCCAGGCAGGGGAAGCACAGGCGCAAGACCAAACCAGCCAAGATGGTAGGAGTGACTGGTCGATTGACTTCGTTTAATCCCGTTTAAATGCTAAACTTTGGCCCAGCGTTGCGTTTAGGGGGTAAACGCTCAATTAAACTTTGACCTCAATTAAACGCATGTCAATCACTGAACTGATGAATTGGATTGGGGATTTATTTTAGGGTTAAGATTGAATGTGTACTGCTCCTTAGTCCTTAGGATGCGTTGATCTGTTGGTCCTTACTATGCTACTTTTGTTCTTGGATTGGGATTAGGATGTCGACTTCCTAAGTTGCAGCTGCTGCTTTGGTACTACAAAGACCGCTCCGAAGCCACCGATGTTGCCAACCACCTAAAGAGGAAATCATCTGATATAGGCTGGGAGTGGGGGCTAATCTGTGATCACTGTTATTACTTCAAGTTGTGTTATTAGTACTGATTTTGCTCTCAGAATCACAAAAATAAAATAAAAACCAAAAACGTTTAATCACGTTTAATCTCGTTTAAACTTCCAAAACTCTAAACTTTAGGCTAGCGCATGCCTAGCATCTAGCGTTTTTTAAAACATTGGTGCCTGGCTGCCACCGATCCATGGTGGAGGGTTAGGGGTAGAGAGAGAGATAGGAGGAAGGATTATTTTATTGCTTGATTAACTCATACGTCCCTAGGGGACTTAGCGTGTGTTTGGTTCTGGGGCCATGTGGGATGGTTTGGACCTAACCCAGTTTTTTGGGTTGGGTTTGGCCATCTCGTGTTTGGTTGATAGGAATGGGTCCATTCCAGTTCTCTGTTTGGTTTGAAGGTTAGTAGATGTGGGATGAGATAGATGACGTATGGGTCCACATGCCATCTTCTCCTTTGTTCTCTTCTTCCTCCTTCCTTTGTTCTCTTCTCTGCCAGGGTCATCCTTCGCCGCCGCTCCTCCTTCACTCGGCCATGGCCTGCTCCTCTGGCTCGACCTGCTTTCCCGGCGGCGGCCTACTCCACCTTTGTGACCGCAGACTGCCAATGATTGTTGCTCCTCATGAGTTCTTTGTTCTCCTTGGCTGCTGACCTTACAGGTCTCCTCGGTCTCGGCTCATTGCCCCCTTGACCCGCCTCCGCCTGCTTCATTGGGCACCCAAAGACTGTCAAATCAAACCATCTCTCATCGCCCAGTAGCATCATGCCACGGGCTCCTTTTGACCCCCACTCCCTCCGCCACGCCGGGCACCCAGCACACCACCACCACTGACCCACCTCACCTCACTCGCCTCGCCTCACTTATGCGCTGCCCCTCCGCTTCATCTGGGTCCGCCTCGGTTCACCCGATTCGGTGGAATCGGCTCAACCCGCATCTAGCAGGAATATTCCCTCTGGGAGCCAACCCAACCCACTCGAACCCCAAACCAAACACTACCAAATCTGGGTCCAACCCATCCCAACCCAGTTGAACCTCAATCCAAACACATGCTTACATATGTCGGTGGCCAACAAGGTCTCCTAAATTTCTTCCAATCTTACCAAACCAACTGGTTAAGCCGATATCTATCCTTATTAATCTAACTTGCCATATAGCCTGTTGCCAGCCTGCTCTTGTTATGGCATGACATCTATAATATGGAAATCCATCGATAGAGTTAGGGAAGAGTATAGAAGCTTCACGTCGAGGAGCCTGACTATACATATGAGATTGTGGTCTCAATTTATCATTTAAGTAAGAAGCAAAAAGGAAAACCCAGGACCCTGCAAGCTCACGGTCTGCCGCATAAATCCTAAAATGGAGCTTATCTCCCTCCCTCCTAGACTTCATTTTACTTCTTAATCACAGGACACGCAATCCTTATACCATCAGCCATCCGCCACCTCATCTGCCTCCACCAGCTACTTCCTCCACCTTCCGTTTCCAATAAAGCAAGTCCATAAAAGGAAGACGACCAACAGAAAGCATGTCCACCTTAATCATTTGAAAGAAAAAAGAAAGAAAGAGTGGGTACCTTCAGGCGGCTAGACAATTCACTAGAATGCAGTATGTTGGCAAGCTTGGACTGGCCATAAGCTAATATGCTGTTATAGCTGTCAACAAAGACAAAGTAGCAACTCACTGTGATAAATGAAAACAAACATTTATTCATTTTCTTGATGAGCTGAAGGTTGGAATAAATTCAAATCCGTACGAATCATAAAACGTGTTGAAAGTAATGAACATGCAAAAAGAATGAAGAATCTGTAATTTGAGTGAGAAAACAATACCCAGACTCATCATTGATCTTATCAAAACGAAATCCCTCTCGATATGGGTGCTTGTAGCTGTCTGAAGCAACTATCACAACCCTTCCTTCTATGCTGCTCTCTTTAGCCGTAACTTTTATCTTCTTGAGTAAGAGAAGAGTCAATAAAAAATGTCCTACATAACAGGTTAGATTTACTTTATGAGGCCTTTTTTTTTTGAAGAATCATGGGCATTAGGTAGTACAAGCAGCAGCTGAACAAATCCAACCAAGTAAGTGAGGATGTCATTTTGTTTTTTAATAATGTCGCAGATAATTACTGTGTGCCTTTACATCACTCAAACTGAAGAAATTTGCTTTTCACGTTGAGATAACAGCATGGACTACAAAAATTTACTTTGTGATATAGACAAAAGACAATCTAAGACATTAGCACCACAAGATAGCCATACCAAGGTGATTTGTTGCAAAATGCAGCTCAATGCCATCCTCCGAAAGCTTGAAAGGAACAAATGCGATCCCTGCATTATTACTTCAAACAAAGTGTGACCAAATCATGAACCTTTTATGGTACAAATAAGTGTATCAGAAAGAGTTGTTTTTAAACATATAATAAAGACTTTAGCTCTAGACATCCTCTAATGAGGATGCATCATACAACAATTTTTATGACGCACTTGCCCCAAAGAACAATCCTCCCTACAATTTGGCCCTTTGTGTGCAGCATGTGATTGTGGTTGAGACATGCCATAGCAACCGTTAAGTTTGCCATAATGTAGTGACCAACTGACCATATCAATACAGTGTAGCCACGGCCACTGCCAGTGGTCATTTCTGAAGATTAGTTATGCACTTATACTTACATAAGAATGTTCAGTGGGAGGTCCAGCGCATTAAACTCGTTAACAAATCTTCTCACAGATGACATCGAGCTAAGGTCAACCTCAAGGATCTCAATCTTCGCGGTAGGAACTTGCCTCAGAATATCTTCCCTCACACGCTCAGCAGCAGACGGATTCCTCACCCCCATTATGACGTGCACGCCCCGCACCGCAAGAACCCGGCATGTTTCAGCTCCAATCCCACTAGACGCATCTGTATGTAGGAAGCTTTTCCGTCAAGATGGTCGCCACCAGAATTCAAGAAAGCAGCACAATTTGAGTAGCAGAGCAAGAGCTGGAGCACTGTTAATGTTAAATCCTAGAAAAATATATGCAGCAGTTGAACTGAGGGCAAATCTAAATCCACTGATGCTCTAATACTAGTCAATAATGGACTAAAAATCAAGAATCAGGAGTGTGACAAATCAGGAGTCACAAAACCCAATCAAATAGCAAGGACGGCTACAAGAGGGAAGAGGGAGGCAGCAGTAAATGACCGGTGACGATAGCGACGAGGCCGGAGCCGCAGATGCCGGTGGTGACCTTCTCTGCCGTCGACGACGGCGAGAACCCCGAGGGGCTCCTCCGCCGCTGAAGCAGGCCCAACATGTCGCTCTCCTGCAAAGCAACTCATCTGTCACCGTCTCATCGGATGGTATGGAGAAAGTGAGGGAAAAAAGAGGAATAAAAATATATGCGCTGAAAGAGGGAAAAAGACACCCTGTCAATGCAAAATATATTAGTCGCTCTGTCAAAAAAAAAATTATAGTTATAGAATCCACAGCCGTCAAACTAACTTAATTTTTTTTAAATTTATAACAAATATTATTAGTATTAATGTTTTTAAATAAATTTATTTTTAAAATATATTCTATAACTAATCTTAGAGTAACTTGACCAGGACACCCAAATCAGAATCTCTATTTTTTATCTGGGTGCTCTCTCCTTGGGTGACCAAAATTTTGCTTCCACTGTAATAGCACCACACAAATGAAGACCCCAAAATTTAAATCAGCAGACAATGACATGAGGGACCCACTCGTCATTGGCTCAAATCTTTCTTCCCCTCATCCTCGTTCTCCCGAAGCACGAGTCGCTCAAGGCCGCCGGCGCCGGCGCCCCGGACGCTACGGCAGCAACGAAGGATGGCATTAGGTCGTTCGTGCTCTGCTCTCGGTTCTTGCTCTGCGGGCGGCGGCGTGGCTCCACGGGCAGCCCAACGATTCATCCATGGCGCGGCGCAGTGAAGCCTCTCCGATCCATCTCCCCACCGGCAGTTTTCTCCAACTCGCGGCTGCAAATCGCGGGCACGGGAAGGAGTGCGCGAGCCGTGGAACGAGCGGCGGCTGCGAGCTCGTGGTGCGGCGTGGCTGCAACCGGCGGCGGGAGCCCGTGTGGCGGCTGGGATCTGCGCCGGCCCCGGCGGCGCGAGCTCGTTGCATCGCGGAGCGCCGGATTTGCACGAGCCGCGGCTGTGGGAGGCGCCTCCACGGCAGGGATGCCGCCATCGCCCTCACCGCGCGGTGGTAGGTTACCACCCGCACAGAGTTGCAACTTGCTTGCACGGACGGAGTCGCTGCTTGATTGGTTGCGTCCGTCATAGCAGGCTCGCGTCCGTCGGGGCAGCTCGGCTAGAGGGGAGGGCTCCGCCAGAGCTCGCTGTCGGAGCGGAGGGCGGCCACCGGGGATGGGAGACGCGAGTGGTCGGTGCGCGGCGTGCTTCCCTGCTGGCGTGGGGAGAAAACGACGGATGGGGGGCATGGGGGTGAGCACCCATTCTCCACCGCTAAGGCTATCTCCAAGGCACCCAAATCAGATACACATTCCCACATTTAGGTCACGGTCACGCACACTAAATGAGTGCCAAACCTGTACCTTTATCTTCTCCAACAGCCTACGCAAAAAAATCCTCCCCTGCTCCTTCTCCTCTCTCTCCGCTCAATCCCTCTCTTCTCTCCCCTAGGCGACAACCCCACGGCGCCCGCCTCCTCCGTCTCCCTCTCTGCTTCTCAGCTTCCTCCTCTCCTCCTCCGCCCCCAAGCCGACCACCACCACTCCCCCGGCCCGTGCCGTCGCCCCATCCTCCTCCCCTCTACGTGCGCCCACCTCCTCAACATGGGCCTTGGCCTTTCACCCAGATCTGGGCAGCAGCCACCGATGTGCTCGAGGCGTGGCGGCTCTCTCCATGGCGGCTCTCCCATGCATGACCCGCTTTGCCCTGCTCCCTCGCCTTGCCCTCACCGGCCGTGTTCCCGCCGGTGGACCTGTCTGAAGCGCCGGCGGGCTCCCACCACGGCTCGCCTCGCCGAGCCGCCGGCCGCACTCACCCGAGATCCACCGGGCGTCAGAGATTTGCGTCTTGTCCCTGCAAGACGCTTATTTGCCTCTCGTTTCGGTAACTATGCAAAATGGGTCATCTGTTTGCGTGCTCCGTTGGACCGTGTTTCCTGATACGCAAAACACTGTGTAGCACTCATTTTGCGTCTGGGTAACGTTATTGGAGATAGTCTAATGGGTCTGGAGGGTGGATTTGGGTGTTCACCCCAAATTGGGGGCTGTAATAGGGAACCTGCTGGAGGGCACCCGTATTTAACTATGGGGGCTCAAGTAGAAGTCTTGCTGGAGTTGCTCTAAGGCTCTGTTTGATCCATAGAATGGAATTCTATTCTAATAATCATAATTTAGACACAAATCAATAAAATTAATGTAGTTGTATGTGAAATATATTTGTATACTATTGTTTGCCACACAAGTGAGACACTTATGTGCTGCACTTCTACTACAAGGAAACGAGTCGAAGAGTGTGCTATAAGTTACAAGGTAGAAACATAGAATTGAGACATATAGAATTAATTTCTATCAGTCAGCTCATGAATTTAAGATAGGCTTATATTTGAACTTTGAAAAGTTGTGAAATGCCAAATTCTAAGTCAATTAGCTTAATCCGTTAACTAGATTTTAATTCTTTCAAAATGAAAGGATCCAAACAGCCCCTAAGAGTATTTATTTTGATCGTGAATGTTCATATTTTTATGAAAATGTATTTTACTGTCTCGTCTGTGTGTTGTGTAGGGAGCGGTAACGTAGGTGAGGCAATGCACGTTGAGTTTTAATATTTTATAGGAGTCATTTTTTGAAAACGGTTGCAGAAATACTTCTTTATTGCTTCCAATTATTTTTGGCGTCTTACAAAACTCAAGGGTTTTAGCAACTAAATTTTATGAACTCTCGGAGATACTCTAACAACTCGATCTTTTTTCGGTGCCTTAATAACTTTTGGAAAGACTATCTGTCCTATATGAATATAAAAGGTGACGACCTATTAAAACACATAATCGCATAAATCAATCTACTACATTATTTTGCATATACTATTTTCTCTCGGCTCTAATTCTTGCTTCTTGTTCTTCCTTGCTGTCTACTTCGTTGCGACAACAACTACAAGGTCCTAGGGGCGGTCAGGCCGACCTAGGGCAGCCCATTGCCACTATTCTCCCTGCTCTCATCAGCGTGTCTTACGTATCGCGCTCCCAACAAAACTCTCCCTGCGATGTGTTTTACGTGTCGTGCTCCTCGTCGGGGGCACATGGACACATAATTATCGTTTTATTTTTAGCATACCGGTGGAACACGGCAGCGCTGAAGAATCATCCGAGGAAAGGAACGATTACAATTGAAAGAGACTACTTACGCATAAACGAACAACACACAGTAATGTATAGCTTAATAACACTTGGAAAACCAGTGTTTGCGCAGATGACATGATCAACTGACGACGGTCAGTAGGGCCTGCCCGTGCCGTAGTTGCCTGGCGGGAAGTAGTCGCAGACGAGGAAAGTATCGCCGGAGTCGCACACGATCCTGGCGCACCCGAGCTGCGTGGTGTTGCGCCACACCACCTGCGTGTACCGCAGGCACCCGGCACCCGACGGCGCGGCGCAGGAGTTGCTCCCGTAGTCGTACCACTGGCCTTCCGCCACCCACGACGCCACCATCGCCGTGGCGTTCCAGTGCCGGCCTCTCCCCACGAACAGGTTCTCGCCGAAGTAGAACAGCGGCGACCGATGGGGAGCGCAGTCCCCGCGCCGCGAGTGCGCATAGTCCTTGGCGTACCCCGCGATCTGTGGGCTCCACGTCAGCGGCGGCACCCCGACCACCTGCCGGGCGGCGTTGTGAACCGACAGGAGCTCGGCGACCGTGGCCGCGATGCGCGCGCGGCGGCCAGCATACCCGTCCGCGTCCGCGCTGCTGCTTCCCTCGTCACCGGCTGCGCTGTGCGCGCACAGTGAGACCACTGCTAGTAGTAACAAGATGGACAAGTGGGAGGACACCCTTGTTCCCGCCATCCCTTGGTTGTTCCAATATGTTCAGAGTGGGGTTTTTGGAATGGATTGCTAGTTGGACGTGAGTACAATGACTATATATATATATATAGTTGGATTTGGTGTTCGATATCGTACAATTCCAAGTCCCATTCCCTGATTTTGAGGTGCGATCGAGTAGGGGTGACGATCGATGTCTTTGAACGCTTTCATGGCGGCTAGCATGCATGATTGTGTGCTCTAGCTGTTTCACGTCATCACACACATTCTTGGCATCCAAGGCATAACCGAATCTCTCAGATTGTTTATCCGATGATCAAGCAAGTACATATGGGATGGCGCAAAACGAGACCATGTCCTTGACAAAGCGTAGTATTCTAACATACTCCTGTATGTTTATGTATTTCGTATGCCTGGCTGGTTTGCTGTTTTCAAGGAGATGATGGTCTGGATCTTTCAAAAGATGGCCTGGTGTCTGTGAAGACGGTGGAGTCCGTCCTGTATCTGAGAGCGAAGATTAAGGAGCAAGCAAGACCAGCTGCAAAGCAATCCCCTGCCGCCAACACGACTTATGTATTCGATTGATCGGTGCGTGATTTTGTTTCCTATATAATGTATTTAGCCATTACTAGCATGCATGAAGCATTTGACTAGTGAATGTGAAATAATGCTTGCAATCTCTCAAACCAGAATGTGACTGTCTAGCAAATATTTCTGTTGACGCCAAATTGGATCACGCAACACAAGAGCTAGCAAGCCTGAAGTCGCACACAACCTATCATACGTAGCAAGCAATCCCAAAACCATCGAGGGATCGGTTAAGCTGATTCGGAGCCCGTCCTTCGCCACAAGAACTTAGGAACATCTCCTGGGAAGACCCATTGGTGACATACACGTCTAAGGTTGTCCTAGGGTTGGCAAGGCCAACAAGAATGCCGATGGATCTCACATAGAGATGCAACAGACAACAAGACATTTGAAAAGTAGGGCAAAATTGAGTAATAGATGTAAAAACTCGGATTTTGGATCCTCAATCGGTCGTGATCTACTCGTTTATAGAGGGGGTTATCTTGTCCTAGTAGAAAAGTCCAGATCGTAATCTAAAACTTTTCCATGCCAAAAATATATCCAAAACTGATTCAAAAACCAACCAGTCAGAGTAGGACAAGAAAATCAGCCTAGTCAGGTCCCAAACAGGTCAGGCTGGTTTTGTCGGGCCTAATAGGACACCCTCACCACAGCATAGGGAAACCGCCCTGACCAGCTAGGGAAACCTGCCACGTGGGGACCCGCCGTGTTAATTTACCTAAATTATGCGCTATCCACTTGACCAACCCAATTTAAGCAAATCAACCTAGGTGATCCCTGGGAGATGCTATCCAAATCTCCACTACATCCATACTAGGATCCCTGTTGCGTATCATACCACAATAGCCACCACAAATCAAAGATTTCAACTCAACAAATAATTACATACAATCAGCAAAAACATATATTACCATTGATTAATAAATTAATTGTTACAACATAAATGAAGACATTGATTAAGCTACGTGTAGTGAGATTCAGACGACTATCTTACCATATTATACTACACTACGAATTACACTCTAACTAGTAACGGGTGGTTGCCTTGCCCATGGGCGTCGCCACCATAGCTTGGATGTCTCTTGCCATTAACCAATTTTGCCAGTATCGATAGGGTGACATGGCAGCCAATATTCTATAGGTACCTATAAAATAACTTAACGAATGTGTTGATGTTTTTGGACCACCGACGAGTAAATTTGTATTTGTGCATCTGGCTCGGATGGTGTGCTCGGAGGACATAAGGGTTTACACTGGTTTGGGCGGAACGTCCCTACGTCCAGTTCACTGCTGCTTGTGTTACTGGCACTTGGTTTGCATTAGGGGTTACAAACAGGTGAGAGAGGGAGAGGATCTTGAGTCTCTGGTGGAAGGACTGAACGGGTGCTGAGAGCTCGCTTGCCGCTCAGCCGTGTGCTCGTGTCGTGCTCTTGTTTTTAGACACCCCTCCATGGGGCGCCCTGCTTTCCCTTTTATAGATGAAGGGAAAGCGCGGGTTATAGAGGAGGAACAGTAGAAAGACGAGAGAGAGAAGAATGCTTTCAGGGTTGCCGGGTCCTTCTTCTCCTTCATGCGGGTCCTGCTGATCCTGTAGATGTCAATAGGGATAGCTCCATGTCGCGGCCCTATTCGTCACTGGCGCCATGCGTAGGCATCATCTACCGGTCATGGCGTTCCACTCCGTCCCGGCGAACGTCGTGGTGAACTGACGCGCCTGTCAGCGTCCGTACGAGGATTAGGCAGAACAACACCGGCACGCCCGACACTGTTCTTGATGTGAATCCCTAGGTATGGCCCATCATGGCCACGGGTTACATCGAGGGGTGCCAGCCTCTTCCCTGGCGTTAGAGTTTTGACCCAGGCCCATACGCCTGGACCTGGAGTGGTTGGCGACGGTATAGGTCCTCGTCGGATGAGACGGAACCCGCATCCTCGAGGTTGGACAGGGCGGCGCCCGCGACCTTGGGCGAGACGAAAACCGCGTCCTTAGGGTCGAGCGAGACGGAGCCCGCACCCGAGGGGTCGGGCGAGATGGAGCCCGCGGACTTGGGCGAGACGAAACCCGCGGCCTCGAGGTCGGGCCAGACGAAGCCCGCGGCCTTGGGCGAGACGGAACCCACGTCCTTAGGGTCAGGCAAGACGGAGCCCGCACCCAAGGGGTCGGGCGAGACAGAATCCACGGCCTCGAGGTCGGGCGAGACGGAGCCCGCAGCCTTCGGTCGTAGGATTCGAGACATCGGAAAGATTTTTCTTTATTTTGGTCCACTAGGATCCGATCGGTCCGCCGTCGTACTGCGACCGCGCGTGTTAGGTCTCCTTGCGAGTCCAACTTCCCTCGAGCCCCCACGCGTAGTAGGGGTCCAGTCGAGGGTCAGCTCGTCTTTGTGATCGTCATCCCACAAGCATTTTTTGATAAAACAGAGGGGCTGAACCGTGCCATGTTTTTCCTTGATGGACGAAACATGGTGCTCGCTGAGCTGTTAACGGGCTAGTCCGAGTGGGGCCCTAGCTTCCGATTCGCAGGGGTCCAGCATGGGTCAGCTAGTGACCGACTCCAGACTCTTGGCGGCCAATCCATATAGTTCTTGGGTCCGTTCGGCCGGTCCCAAGGGCTCGTTGCCTTTCTTCAAGGAAAAACCATGGACTGGGAACCGACCAAGACTCGAACGTGGGCCAGGATGCCCGCGACGCTCATGCACCCGGGTACTAGCTGCTAGTGGGCCCATCCCTTTCCACTCCTCGCTCTAAGGGTGCCTCAGAGCGGCTGTGAACCCGTCGGTGGGCCAGCCTTCGAACATCTGGTCCTGAATGGGCCGTAGGAGCGTTTTCAGCTCTGTATCCCTCCTTACCTACGATGGTTCTTGGCCCATCGACCGGGCGAACCATCATTCGTGCGTGTCCTTCGAGGGCACGGCCAGAGATAGCGTGCACACAATCTTCAGAGGGAGGTGGCATGACGCGGCGTAGCTGGGGCGTGAACCTTGGTAGATGGTTCGCCTTCTCGCCCTGCTCTGTCCTATAAATAGCGGCCTCCCGCTTCACATTTCTACACACCAAAACCATAACCTTACCTTCTCTGTTTCTCCATCGCCGCCGTTCGGATCTGCCGTGCTCGCTAATCCACCGCCGGGCCCTAGATCTGTAGCTTCCGCTTCTCTGCCGCCGCCTTTGCTTCTCTACAGCCGCCTCCATCCTCCATGGATTCATGGAACTGCTCTGATGTTACCCATGAGCGCATGGAGGGCCTCGTCAAGCGTGGTCTTCTCCGCGAGAGAACCGATGCGGTAGAGTGGCTTATGCCCGGCCGTGAGGATGCGCCGGCGCTGGCCGACAGCTACATCGTCTCCTTCGCGCCCTTCCACGAGCGCGGACTCGTGGTTCCTCCCCACCCATTCTTCTAGGGTCTGCTGCACCACTATCAGATCGAGCTACAACACTTGAACCCCAACGGGATCGAACACATTGTGGCCTTCATCGCGATGTGCAAGGGGTACCTAGGGATCGAGCCCCACTTCGAGCTGTGGAGATGTTTTTCTCCATCTCCTTGATCAAGAAGGAGAGAGGCTGGGAGACCCCGGTGCCAATGGGATGAGCGGGCATCCTCCTCCGAGGGCAGCGGGCGGGCGAGTACATGCCCTGCCAGCTCTCTAGATCCAACAAGGGGTGGCACTCGCATTGGTTCTACCTAAAGAACAACCATGCCGCTCCCTTGCCGGTCTTCTCTAGGCGCCTGGTCAAAGAGGTACCGCCGTCATGGCCATGGGAGCCACCCATCAAGGAGAAGAAGAGGATGCGTGACCTCCTTGAGGCCATCGCATTCCTGAAGACCCATGGCCTCTGTGGGGCCGGTGTCATCGGGGGTATCGCACGAGGAGGGTGGCACCGCTGATGGCGCGCATCCTCCCGCTGTACGGGATGACGCCCGATGCGCAGCTCATCAGGACAACGCTCGCCTAGGGGTTGCTTCACAACAGCGAGGTCACGCAGCACATCAAGGAGGCCATGGGGGAGACCGACACCATGTTCTTGATCCAGGGCATCCCGTGATGCGGTCGGATGTGGGCTTTGTCGAGCTGCCGGCGGGGTTAGTCTTTCGGGACTCTATCGCGCCGCTGCTAGAGCACGCAGCCATGAAGGCTGTGAACCATGCCGCGGATGAACAAAGGAAGAAGAAGAGGATGACAAGGAGAAGAAACGGCGATTGAAGCAGCGAGCGAAGTTGCAGCGAGGGAAGCAGCGTCAAGGTTCATCGAAAGAGGAGAAAGAAGAAGAGGAGGAGGAGGAGGATGACAGCTCCGGGTCGCCCATCCCATGGGATGATCTAGCCGCTAGGAATGTGGACTCGCCTTCACCGTAGGCGAGGCCCTTCCTATGGCATGCCACAGGGCAGGAGTGGGAGGACACGTCCCTAGAGCCGGCGAATCAAACCGCCCCGC